CCTGGCAGTCCAGCCACTCAAGATGGACCCAAGGTAGAGGGGAGCTTCAATGGGCTTGATGGCACGGTGATCACCTGTGTCATGTTAGAACCGTGCATGTATGAAAAAGGAAAGGATGCTCCTAGCAGAAGAGTCGAGGGACCAGCTGAGGGCTTGTAGGGGAGAGAGAGACTTAACGTCAGCAGAGCGGAGGTCTTTCTCCACTGACTTCGAGGATCATTAAGGTTGGAAAAGACCTCTAAGATCATGCAGTCCAATCATCAACCCATCACCACCATGCCTGCTAAACCATGTCCTCAAGTGCCACGTCTGCACGTGTTTTGAACACCTCCAGGGATGGGGACTCCACCAGCTCCCTGGGCAGCCTGTTCCAATGCCTGACCGCTCTTTCAGTCAAGAAATATTTCCAAACAGCCAATCTAACCCTCCCCTGGCGCAACTTGAGGCCATTGCCTCTCGTCCTATCGCCAGTTACTTGGCAGAAGAGACCAACACCCGCCTCACTACAACCTCCGTTCAGGTAGTTGTAGAGAGCGATAAGGTCTCCCCCCACCCTCCTCTTCTCCACACAAAACAATCCCAGTTCCCTCAGCCGCTCCTCTGAAGACTTGTTCTCCACACACTTCAACAGCTTCGTTGCCCTTACCCACGTGCCAGCCTTGCTCTTTACAGCGCTGCACCACGATGGGCTCTGAGGTGGCTTACCCAGGCACACCACGCTGGCATCTTCTTGGTGGTTGCAGTTACTTTCTCCCCAGGGTCTGGCCCTGCACGCGGAGAGGGCAGCCTCGCTGCCCGTGCAGTTCACATCGTCCAGCCAGATGGGCTCGGGCCCCATCCCAAAATGAGCTCTGGGTGGAGCGGCGACGGCCGTCCCACAGCCCAGCTGCCGGCACACCACTTCTGCGTCGTCCAGGTCCCAGCCGTCGTCGCACACACTTCCCCATCGCTGGCTCTGCAGCACCTCAACTCTCCCAGAGCAGCGACTGGAGCCGTTCACCAGCCGCACCTCGGCAGGCTCTGAAATGGACAGACAGACAGGAGTCGCCTTGTGCTGCTGCACCGACTGACGCAGGCAGCAAGTGTTGGGTGTGAGACGGAGGAGGAGGAAGCCCCACAGGCTCAGCATTTGCCTCGCCTCGCACTTACAATCCTAGAACGGTTTGGGTTGCAAGGGACCTTACCGATCATCTAGCTCCAACCCCCTGCCACGGGCAGGGACACCTTCCAGCACAGCAGCTTGCTCAAAGCCCCACCCAACCTGGCCTCAAACACTTCCAGGGCGGGGGCAGCCACAGCTTCCCTGCGCCGCCTCATCCCTGG